TTCGCCATGCTGCAGGCGACGCTGGGCACCATCCACCGGCGCCTCCACCCCACCCTCACGTGACCTGGGCGCTGCCGGGGCTGGGCTGCTCCCTGGGCCTCTCTTCAGGACAATGTTTGCCTCAACTCATACAGGGTGCCGGACCTACAGCCTCAGAGCCCCTGGCCGTGGGCCTCAGTGCTGACACACACAGGTGTGCACACACAGGCCAACATACAAAGACATGCACTTGGAGAGCAGAGGGGCTGGCGTCCTCTGCCCGGCGTGGCCACGTCCCTGGCATGGGCAGGACCCCGAGAGAAGGCCTGTCGAGCTGGGTTTACTCCCCCTCAGGGTGACTGTGGGAGAAGCTCTGTGCCGGCTGAGGTCCCTCCCGCCTGGGACCCCCTCCCAGGGTCAAGAGCAGCAGGTGGGGCTTCCCAATTTTCCCCAGAGTTCCGCCAGGGCCTTGTTGAAGGGGCTGGTGCGTGGCTCCCGGGCACGTGGGATGCAGCACCGCCAGCACACGCACGCCTCTGCCTGTGTGCAGCCCCTGTGTGTGCAGGAGGCAGCCCTCAATAAACATGCGTGCACTAAGTCAGCGGCACAGACGTGCGTCATCACAGGCCTCAGCCCCAGCCAGAGCAGGGCTGGTGTGTCATGATGGAGGGAGAGCTGGCCCCTGTGTCCCAGCCCCCATCCTGGGCAGCCAGAGGCAGACGACCCCCTGACCCCCTGCAGGAGCTGCGAGAACAGCCCTTTCCATCTCCCTGGGCTGGGGTTGAGGGCGGCTGGGGCTGGTCTTACCATGGGAAGGTCAGGCAGATGGCTGGGTGGCCGTCTGGGGGGCGGATGACTCGTCTGCCTCTGTGGCGTAGAGTCCAGCGCGACCTGGTTGTGCAGTCAGGCCACGTGGAGGCAGCTGTGGGAGGCGGGCAGCTGCGGGCAGCTCTCCGGGGAAGGGGAGCAGCGTCTCCAGAGCGAGGCAGCTGCCAGCGCTGATTCCAAGCCACCAGCTGACATCACTGAGTGAGGAGGTGCCTCACCTGCCCAGCTCTGGAGCGAATGGATGAACAAACGGAGGAGCAGGAGGAGCGGGTGGGTGGGGTCTGCCTTCAGGGTCCCCAACCCCCACCCTCCTGGGAGCCCCACACTGGCAGCTATACCCCAGAGGCTTGTGGGACAGAAGGGACAGAGGCAGGCAAGCCCCTCGGGTGCAGATAAGCAACCCCCCAGGGCTGCGCAGAGAGCAGAGGCTGCTGGGGCTGGGTTGGGGAAGGGACTCCATGGTTGAGGGTGAGCGGCGGGGGCAGCACAGGGATGAGGTAGGAACCAGACACATCAGGCTCAGGTGCATCTGGCTTTGGATCAGGGTTGAGTGGGAGGGCAGGAGTCCCCAGAGCCTCAGACCCCCGGTTAGGCCGCCCCAGCCCTGGTGGGTGTGGGGGCAGGAGGGTTTGGGCAGCAGCTGCTGGCCCTTCCATCCTGGGCTGGGCAGAGGGGCTGGGCCCCAGAAGGTGAGGGCTGGAGCTGAGCTCCTCCGGTTCGGGGGGAGCAAGGGACTCCTCTGGGCAGGGGCTCCGGCCACCAGGAAGGGCTCACCCTCTCTGCCTGGCACTGGGGTGTGTGGGCGGGCTGGGCAGGCAGCCTCAGAGGGAAGGAATGAGCGAGGCGTGGTCACAGGCCAGAGAGGCAGGTGTGTGTGGGGCTCACCTTGGGTGTCTCACCAGCCACGTGCTGGACAGGTTTGTGCTCCGGAGCCTCTGGGCGGGGCTGGGACATAGCCTCGAAACTGGAGCTTCCTGGTGTGACTCAGGCAGAGCCCCAGGCTCGTCCGCACCAGGAACTCGAGGCCCCTTGGACTGGAGTGTATTGGTGAGCAGTTGAGGAGGGCTTGGAACCCCCTGGGCCCAACAGGCGCTAAGCTGCCCACCACCCTGTGTCCTGCTCCCTCTAAGCCCTGCCCCCTCCAGGGTGCCCGCGGCCACTTTCCCACGCAGCTTGGTCAGCGCTGAGCGGGGCTGCCCAGCACAGCACGTGGATGACCTTGTTAGACAGCACGCCTCCTGTTCTTCCCTCGAGATGGTGAGCAGGGCCATTACTCCTCCTTGATGAAGGGAGAGTTTCAACAAGCAGGACTCTCGCTCATTTGTCCTCACAGCCTCCTGATGTAGCAGCAAATCCTGGCACCTCCTCAGACAGGAAGTCACTCAGGCCCCAGGCCAGCAGGCTGACCCCGGACCCACGTCACTCTGGACTGCCTGTGGCAGCCACACCAGCTCCTCCCGGCGGCCCTGAGGTCAGGGAAGGGAGTGCCTTGTCCATGGTCTCCGTCCCTGACCCAGCTCCAAAACTCCCCATGGTCCAGGTTCCACTAAGGCGGACCCAGGGGGCCCTGGCTGGTCACTCTGCCCTCCCTCTCTTGGGGCTCAGGCCCAGCCACGTGGTCGCTTGGTGGGCACATTTCCCACAGAGGGTGGGCAAGAGCAGTGCCCAGACTGACCTGGCCCGGGAGGTAGAACAGGTGGGGCTGCCAGGCCCTCTAGGGTGGAGCCCAGGTGCTTAGGGAAGTGGGCAGCTCATTGGCTGGGTGGGTGGGGGGGTGGCCTGTCAGAATTGGCCCTGCCCTTCCACACCTCCCAGCCACGGTGTTCAGAGCAGCCGAGTGACAGGCAGGGAGAGGCCAGGTGGCTGGGTCCTGCCACGTTAGACACTATGGTGTCCCGGGGCCGGGCCCACCTGGGCCCCCAGTATGTGGGCCTCTGGGACTTCAAGGCCCGGACAAACGAGGAGCTAAGCTTCCGGGCAGGCGACCTCTTCCACGTGGCCCGGAAGGAGGAGGAGTGGTGGTGGGCCACACTGCTGGACGCAGAGGGCGGGGCCCTGGCTGAAGGCTACGTGCCCCACAACTACCTGGCCGAGAGGGAGACTGTGGAGTCCGAGCCGTGAGTGCCCTGTGGTCCTTGCGGGCCACCAAGCTGCTCCCCCACCCCCACCCCTCGTCCCTGGGCCCTGCAGTCCATCTAGAGCTCAGAGCAGGGCAGGGCCTCCAGGGAATAGAGCTCGGCGCCCTGTGGCTGGGCTCGGGGAGGGGCAGGGGTGCAGGGCTGGCCAAGGAGGGTGAGGACTTGTGGCTTTGCATCCTTGGGCCCCCAAGTCGGGGCTGGACCCCACCATCCATGGCTGTACAGCATTGCCGACTGGCATCTGGGGGGAAGCCGAGGCCTGTGGCCCCTCCCCCGGGCTCCCACATGATCACTTCGTGGTGCCAGGACCCAGAGAGGACAGAAGAGGCCGCAGGGGGCTCCCGGGTGGCTGGCCCGCAGTGAACCCAAGGCAGGGCTGGACCTTTTGGGGAGCCAAGTTCTGCTCACCTTCCAACCAACTGAAACCAGATGTGTGACCTAGTTAGGGAGGGAGGAAGGTCATTGCGACATGCCTGCTCGGTGTGGGCTGCGGGCACCTGCTCCTCGCACCTCACGGCTGCCTCGTCATGGCAAGGTGGCTCCGGGAGTGGGCAGCCGCCCTGAGAGGCTGCCCAGGATGCTCGAACCACAGGGGCAGCCTTCGATGGGCGCATCCACGAGACTTGAGCTGGTTCCCCGGAGCTCTGGGAGGGGGGTGTCCAGCAGGACAGACCCAGTAGCCTGCCTGTGCACCCACCTTGTTTGAGCTCGCGCTGTGTGTGGGCAGCACAGTGAACACGTGTAGGGATGACCACCTACCGAGGGGAGACTGGCAATGAGCAAGCTCAGCCGGAAGCAGGTCGGCTTCAGAAGGCAGGGTCTCTCAGGGGGTGTGATGTGGGGTAGGACCAGCTGGAGAGGCAGGGAGGAGGCAGCGTGGTGCAGGGTGTGCAGGGAGTCCTCTGAGGTGTGCTGCTGGGCTGTGCTGGGCAGTGGTCTTCCGTGCAGGGGCCCGAGTTCCAATGGTGCTGAGGGAGTTGGGGTGCCAAGGACAGAGCAGCTGGCAGCAGAGGTCACCTGGGAGATGGCGGGCCCCACCCTGCAGCCCAGAGTCCAGGGCTCGCCATGCCCTGGTGCTGGCTGCTGGCGTGTAGGCATGGGGCGAGTGTGTGGGTGAGTGTGCAAATGCGGGTGTGTGACCAGTCAGGTGTGCACAGCCAGCTGCTCAGGTCCCTGGTGCTGGAACACAGCCTGACTGTGGCCCAGGTTGCGGAAGGTGGTCACAGAATCACAGAACCATGTGGTCCCCTGGGATGGATGGCACATCCCTGGGACAGGGTGAATCTGACCACACACAGGGGACAGCCCAGGCCAGAGTGGTGGGAGATGCCTGTTCTGCAGCCTCCGGGTCACTAGGGACTTTCTAGAACCAGCCACTTGGGACATTTGGGGTCTATGATGGGCAAAGAAGGAGCCTCAGGGTGGAGACAGTATCAGCTAGCAGCTGGGGGTCCCGGTGACAGGGCTGGGACTCAGGGTGGGAGGGCAGGGATCAGCGTGGAGTCAGTGTGGGCTCCGGGCCTCCTGCCCCCCCTGCAGGTGGTTCTTCGGCTGCATCTCCCGCTTGGAAGCCTTGCACCGACTGCAGGCAGACGGCGCGGAGCCAGGGGCCTTCCTGATCAGGGTCAGCGAGAAGCCGGGCGCCGACTATGTCCTCTCAGGTACAACAGCCCCTCTCCCGTTCTGCAAGGGCACCGGGCTTGGTGCCTCCTTCCCCCAGACCCTTTCCCCCTCCGCTGGCTGTGACGTCCAGGACGTCGAGGCCTGTCCCGGGACCTCAGGCCCTGCGGGGCGGCTGTCCTGTGGTCCCTGCCTGGGTTTTCTCCTTCCACTGTTGGGAGGACACAGGGCAGGAGGCTGGGTGTGGTGCCCTCCTGGGCTGCACTCCTCTTGAGACAGTGGTGCTCACACCGGCTCATGTGCCCTCCTTTGCCCATGGCCCTGTGCTCCAGTGCGGGACAGGCAGGCCGTGCGGCACTACAGGATCTGGAGGTGTGCTGGCCGGCTGCACCTCAGCGAAGCTGTGTCCTTCCCCAGCCTGGCCCAGCTCGTGGGCCACCACCAGGCACACAGCCTGTCCAAAGGCCTGCGGCTGACTGTGCCCTGCTGGAAGGTAGGCCCTGTGCCCCTTCCGCCCCCCGCCCCGGATCTGCCCACCGCAGCCCTTTCTCCTCAATGACACGGATCCTCAGGGTCATGCATGGGACTCCAGGGGACTCTGGCTGAGGTCCTACAGAGCTGGAGTTGCAGGTGGGGCAGAGGATGGTCCCCTTTTGCCGGTCACCCTCACCTTTGGACCATAAGAGGTCAGGGATGTCCCTGCTGTGTCCTTTGTCTCTGAGACAAGGCCATGTGCCCAGCTGCTAGCTGAGTGGCAAGTGGGCCAATGTCACAGGCCCAGGGCAGGCAGTGAGGGTGGGTGTTTACCGGACACAGCAAGGGGCAGCCCCTGGAGAGCACAGCATGCCCTGGACGCTGGGACCCTTGACCAGGGCTCCTGCTATTGGGGTCAGAGGGACTTCTGGAAGGGCTGGGCGATGGGGTGGCACCCCCTGCTGTGTCCCTGCCTGTCCCTGCAGCACGAGCGGGAGCCCCTGCCCCTCTGTGCCGACTGGGAGCGGCCCCGGGAGGAGTTCACGCTCTGCAGGAAGCTGGGGGCCGGCTACTTCGGGGAGGTCTTCGAGGGGCTCTGGAAAGGCCAGGTCCGCGTGGCCATTAAGGTGATTGCCCGAGGTGAGTGGCCCCAGGCCAGGGGACTCTGCCTGACCACCCTCCTCCAGGCCCACCAACAGGGACTTCTGGCCTCACTCACTGGGTGGGGGGGCTGAGGCAAGCCCGGGCCTCACATCCCGTGAGCCATGCACTGCCCTGCCTGTGCCACTGTGGCACCTACAGCCACATGGAGGTGACATTTCCTCTCAGTTGCAACTGTTCTTACCTAAATGCATTTATTATAAAAGGCACAATCAATTTTTTTATATTCCATTTTAATTACATTGCTATTTCTTTTCTAAAAAGATTTTAATTGATTTTTAGAGACAGGAAGGGAGAGGGAGAGAGAAACATTGATTGGCTGCCTCCTGCACACCCCCTACCAGGGATGGAGCCCACAACAGGGCATGTGCCCTGACCGGGAATTGAACCGCCAACCTTTCTGTGCATGGGAGGATGACCAACCACTGAGCCACACTGGCCAGGGTGGCTGTTAAATTCTTATCGTTAATGGAAAGCCACCAAACCACGGTTGCTAGTAACCTGACAGGCCCACCTGCAATCTCCCTGGTGGGCACCAGGGGCAAGAACCTGCGGCCCAGGGCCCACGGGAACACAGGGGCATGTTTCAGCTCCTCATGTGGCTGGGGCAGGGGTGGGCCAAAGTGGTATGAGGGTGCCTGGGTGTGGTCAGAGTGGAGTGGGTGTGGCGGACCCTCATGGAGACCCCTGTGGAGTGCGGGGCTGCCATGGGACCAGTGCATCTGCCCCGCACTCTGGCCTTGGGAGTTGGGCCCGGGAGAGCACCCACAGTTACTGAGGGTGGGTGCTGGGCCTGCACCCACCGACCTGCCCATCTTGCAGACGACCTCCTGCACCAGCACACGTTCCAGTCGGAGATCCAGGCCATGAAGAAGCTTCGGCACAAGCACATCCTGGCGCTGTATGCGGTAGCGTCCGTGGGGGACCCCGTGTACATCATCACAGAGCTCATGGCGAAGGGGAGCCTGCTGGAGCTCCTGCGGGGTAAGTGGCGGGGTGGCCTGGGGCTGCTTTCAGGGACCAGAGTGACGCATGCTCGCTGGGGGAGGGGTCAGGAAGGACGCTGAAGGAAGAAAACCCTGACTGCCCACACCATGCACAGGACGCCGGGGTCTCCTGACGCATTGCCAGGCCTTTCCTGGGTAAGGAACGTGTGTGACGTGTGTGATAAATGTGCTGTCTGTTTATTGTGAAGTTTGAGGAATAGAGATAAGGACAAATACAACAGGAAAGGCCCTCTCACTCCTGCGGCCATGGCCACCGGCGTCTTATCCTCTGACAAGCCCCAGGGTCTCATGTACCACCCAGCCGGACGGTGGCTGCGGCTGAGCGGAGGGCCACAGGGGGCAGGTGTGGCCCAGTGTCAGAGATGTTGAAACGGGAAGAAATGTAGGATGACGGCCAGTATGTGATGTGTGCACCTGGGATCTAGTCTTCCTGACCAAAAGTCTGACTGTCGAGTTGCTCACAGAAGCGGCGCGTTGCAGGCACTGTCCCATGTCACTGACGGTTCTTCAGAAAAGACACTGTTGATGGTTGACGTACTCCCACACAGGTGTGCTGCCTCCCTTGGCCAGTGGCCTGTGGGACCTTTCTGTTTTCCATCTGATGGGTGCCTGTGTACTTACAGCCGGAGTTCCCATCACCCTGCTTCAGATTCCCAGAAGCGAAGTATAGATGTGTATGAACATCTTTAGGGCCAAAACGGAACTGCCTTCTGGAAGGGCTGCATGGGGGCCGCTGTCCCAATTTTAAATCAGCCCCCACGCTCTGCCCAGCTCCTCCACTGCAGCAGAGCCGGCAGAGAGGACGCCGCTGACCGGCCCCTTTGCCTCTGCAGAGTCTGATGAGAAAGCCCTGCCTGTCTTGGAGCTGGTGGACATTGCCTCCCAGGTGGCCGAGGGCATGTGCTACCTGGAGTCGCAGAATTACATCCACCGGGACCTGGCTGCCAGGAACATCCTCGTGGGAGAGAACAACATTTGCAAAGTGGGGGATTTCGGGCTGGCCAGGCTCATCAAGGTGGGGCCCAGGAGGGCCTGGGGCATAGCGGGGCATCCTCTGTGCTCAGAGCTGGGGATGCCCATGGGGTCCCTGAGGGGACAGGAGCTGAGGGCTGCGGCTCTGGGAGGGGGGACACAGGAAGCTGCTCACAGGGCCTTTCAGAGCTGGGCGGGGGCAGGGGGGTGAGGCACTTGGCCAGTCCAGGAACTACAGGAGCCAGTCTCTGCTGAGTGGGAGAAGCAGGGACCCAGCCTTCACTTGCTCATTTCTTCATTCGTGATGCTGCCTTAGCTTCTGTGGTTCAGGCAGCAGAGGATGCGTGTGGTGCGTGAGCTCAGGGTAAACACCTCCCAACCCCCAGAGAAAGTTTTATTGTGGAGACTGGAAGACACAAGGGTCAGAATCATGCAGTGGGCCTCGTGGTCCCTCGGTCGACAGCCACACCTGTTTCCTGCACACCTGCAAGTGCCAGTTCATGCCTTTGCTCCTTGCGTGGGCCGCTCAGGAGCTGCTGTTTCTGTGGTCCCTTCCTCATTGAGGCGTTTCCCTCCCCCACTCGGTGGCCAGCATGGGACAGGTCACTTGAGAAGGCAGGCTGACTGCGACTGCCAGCCTTTCTGTTTGTCCAGTGGTGGCCAGTCAGCCTTTCTTGGCATCTCTGAACTCGTGAACTTGAGCACATCTGCAGGCTCCGCCACAGTGGCCACTGTGCTGCTGGGTCACGCGGCCCCATGTCTGGGCTCTGCCACCCGTCTGTCTTCTCTGCCCACAAGCCCTGGGTCAGCCTGTCTCCAAGGTGGGCCGCATCCCCCTCTAGTGGTGGCTGTGATGGCCTGTGTCCCAACTGCTCACACTACAGGCAGGCAGCCACAGCCCTGATCACCAGGCACCGGCTCCCATGCCTGTCCCTGCTCTGGAGGTGCAGGCAGCCCCTGCCTCCCCCAGCGTGTCTGTCATTGTAGGAGGACATCTACCTTTCCCACGACCGCAACATCCCCTACAAGTGGACCGCCCCAGAGGCGCTCTCCCGAGGGCACTACTCCATCAAATCCGACGTCTGGTCCTTCGGGGTTCTCCTCCATGAGATTTTCAGCAGGGGCCAGACGCCTTATCCAGGTACTGGGCCCAAGCAGTGTGGGAAGCGGCCGTCACTTTGGACCTGTTACCTGGACACCATTCTGAGCCCCTGGGTGCTGTCCAGAGCGAGGGCCTAGGAAATGGGTGTGGGGGTGCCGTGGGTGAGCGTGGCCCAAGGCGTCTGAGGAGGCACAGTAGCCGGTGGGCACTGGTCTCCCAGCCGCCCTGTCCCCCTTCCACAGGCATGTCCAACCACGAGGCCTTCATGAGAGTGGACTCTGGCTACCGCATGCCCTGCCCCCCCGAGTGCCCGCCCAGTGCCCACAGGCTGATGCTCGCATGCTGGCACCGGAGCCCTGAGCAGAGGCCCTGCTTCCGAGCCCTGCGTGAGAAGCTCTGCAGCTTCACCAGCTACGAGAACCCAATCTGAGTGCTGCGTGCGGTCCTCCCCACCCACTGCCTGGAGGTGGCAAAAGGCACGACAGCGCCTAGATCCAGACTGTATACTCGGGGCAGGAAGCTGCGCCAGCCACCAGGGCGCCCTGCCCTGGGCAGAGATGCTCTCTGCGGCCCGGAACTGAGACTGCCTCTTCTGAGACACCAGCACCAGAAACATGCCAGGCCCTCCCACCTGCCTCGACGTGGAGCGGTGCAGGAGTGGGGAGCGGAGCTGTGCCTGGCACCGGCCCAGTCCACCCGCCGTCAGGACCAGTGCTTGGCCCTTCAGGCCAGGACATGGTGGGAACCTGGGTCCTGGCTGTGCCCTCCTTTTGCCATCTGGCCCCTGCCTGCCCCAACTCGAGGCTGGGAAGACACCCCAGCACTCAAACAGGCTCTGCTGGTGGTTGGGCTGCCACCTACCATCCCAGGACCAGGTGGCTGCCCCAGTCTCCCTGCCACCATTATCAGGAGCTGCCTCCGAAGGCTCTGGGGCCTGGTCTGGACACTATGGCCAGAAAGATGGGGTGGGGCACTTGCCCATCCAGCTTTGGGATCACAGGAGAGCCTGGGTAAGCCCCCACCCTACCTGGACACATAGGGCAGGCAGGACAGAGGTGCTGCCCTTGGGGCCCCAAGCCCCCCCAGTTGCAGCTATCTATAGCACAGGGTGGGAGAGGGGGGGCAGGAGAGGAGGGCTCCCTCAGCAGCCAGCTGAGTCCCACCTCACACCACGCCCCCACCCACTAAGCTGCCCTCTCCTGGCCAACAGATGGGGGTCATTCTGTTGGCCACTGGAGACCTGTGGACACCAGGCAGGCAGATAGATTGCACAACCACCCTTCCCAGCTCCCTGAGCTGGACTTCGCCCAAAGCTGGGCTGCCTGTGGTGAGAACACCCGCCTCTGGAGCACCCCCCTCCTCCACCCTCAGCTGTAAGTGCCTGGGGCCATGGCCCGACCCCTCCTGGGCTGGGAGGGCCCTGCTCAGTGTCCTACAGGGGCTAGCGGTGGCACACTTATGGGAAGTCACCTGGCAGACAGTGTGGCTCAGTGCTTGTTCCATACCAGTTGGTAGGGACAACCTTTGCCTGTCCCTACCCCTCCCTCCCTGGTATTGAGGGGCCTCATGTCCTTCAAGGGGCACCAGGTCCCTCTAGCCGACAGCTCCCAAACCCATAGCCTCCCAGAGGCCAAGGGGCAGGGGCTGAGTGACCTAGTAGACATGACCTCAGGGTTACACAGATCACGGACCACCCACTCTCCCAGGTGCCCACCTCTCTCAGGTCCAAGGCTCCACACGCATCACAGCAGCTCACTAGGGGTGGGGGATCAGCCAGGCCTGAGGTAGCCCCCCCCAGCAAGGAGTCCCCGGGGGCAGGGCCAGCTCCCCACCTCCACCAGGAAGTGAGGAGGTTGAGTGACTTCTCCCACTGCCTGGGACACACAGCTCAGGAACACCATCAGGGATGCTGGCTGCTTCTCATTTATTTTCCACTTGGTGCAAGGCACATGGCTATGGGGTGTTAGGCAGGCTTGCGTGTGGCTTGGGTAGTAAAGAGTGAGGCTCTCTCAACTTCCTTTTTGGTGTGTTGCTGTTTTGATATAAAAGAACCCAACTGCTTCTGCTTGCTGCAGCCGGCTAGTCTCGGCCAGGTGGGGTGCGAGGGAAGGGGATGGAGGAGGGGGGAGGGGCTCAAAGAGCCTAGCGCCTCTGGAAGTCTGGTGGCTGGTGGTGGCCACTCAGGATGGGGGCCCAGCGTTGACTTTGCCAGGCTGGCCGCCAGGCTGCTTCCTTGTGGCTTCCCGAGCCAGGTCACAGGTGATCATGCTGCTGGAGGCCTGGGGCGATTCCGAGCTGGGGGAGAGCGTGTGGTCAGAGGTTGCTCCCAGCTGCCACACCTCCCCCGCTGGCCCCAAGAAGGTGCACTCACTGCTCTGGGGACTCCAACACTGTGGCCATGAATGGGAGAGTGGACTTCCCAAAAAAGAAGCTTGCCCACCAGTGACCCGGGTCGGCTTTGGGGAGACCTGAGAGAAATACAGTGGGGTCACAGTGCTGCTGCCCACTCCTGGCACCCCCTCCAGATGGTTCCCGCCACAGAAAGGAAGTGGGCCTGCTGCACTCACCCGGGGGGTGGGGGATGGCTTCCCCAGGGTACTCGGCACTTCCACAGGAGCTGTTACTGGAAGTGGAACCCAGGCGGCCTGGAGAGGAGAGGAGGTCAGCTTCAGCCTGCAGCCACTCCCTACGCAGCCTGGGCTTCTCAAAGGACTAGAGCTGGGCGGGGGGGCAGTCAGACCTGGGGGCAGTGGGCGAGGGGCTGACTTACGCCGGTAGTAGTCGTGGGTGGCCACGAGGGAGCCGCTGGAGGGGATGGCGGCCATGCTCTTGCTTGTGCACCGGTGGAAACCTGCGCACGGGGGTTCGGGGCCCCTTTGGTAACCAAACGATCCTGGGGAAGGGCTTCCCACCCGGGCTCCCGGGTCCGCTCCGTGGGCTCCCGGGAGGGGCGGCGGCGCCGGTTTCTCGAGCCGAGATGT